AACAAATTAATTTTTAAACCAATTTTAAGTATTAGTTAGTTAATTTTTAAAAAAAATTAAATTAATATATACTTTAGAACTTAACTTTCTTCTTGTGAGACGATTTAGTTATCATGCGCCACCTATCGGAAATTTTTAACACTACTTTGATCAAATTAATTATATTTTAGTTCTATTTAATAAGATTTAGTAATAATTACTAAATAATTTATTAAAGCCCATTGCCACCATAATAAATAATTATTGCTTCGCAATAAATCGTTTATTGCTATTAAACAAATTAATTTTTTAACTAATTTTACCGTATAACCTAACTTTTGTTACTAAAAATAAATCAAAATAATTAAAATATAATTAAAATTTATTAAAATATAATTAAAATTTATTAAAAAATAATTAAAATTTATTTAGAATAAAAAAATAATTTATTAAATATTGATGGGTAAATATTTTTTTCTCCCAAATAAATGACTAAAAATTTTTTTACTAAATCATTTTATTACTCCGTACTAACTCCTTCTATCGGTGTTATATATTAAAAACAAGTAGCTCATTTAAATTAAAACGATTCACAGTGGCCCTTCAGACACATGGAGTATTTAACATTGCGGCATTGATGGATGGTTAGACAAAATCCCTTGTCTAAAAAAAATCATAAATTAAATATCACAATAAATGATAATAATTACTTATATAGTTATTATATATTACTTATATAATTACTTATATATATTATTATATTATTATATATAATAATAGGACTTATCAAATATGTGAATAGACTCACCAGTAGCTCACCAGTAGCTCACCAGTAGACTCACCAGTAGCTCGGTTAAGTTTCTCTAAAAACATCAAAGGTTAAGAAAGTACAGTGCAATTTAACAAAATTAATTATTTAATAAAGCAAAATTTTATTATAATACACAAGTCACGGCAGTCACATAGTGACTGCAAGGTTGCTAGTTTAATCAATTATTGGGTTTTAATAATTATTGAATTTATTTATTAAACGGGTTAAATCAGTGTTTATTAATAAAAATAAATACATCAAGTAAATTCAAAGGAGGAGTAGATCCGAGGGGTTCCTTGCGAGCCTTCTCCTTAATTTAATTAAATTTGAGTCATTAATAGTCGTTGAGTCATTATAAATAAATTTTGTTTATTGTTATATCTGTGCCAATAATTTCAACATCTTCATCACTTAATAGCAATTAGTTAAGTTAATTTTATTCTGTGACCGAATCAAATTTTGGACACCCACTCCCTGAGTGTGAGCTGGCTGAACGAAACCTGCTAAGGTATCACCGTTCTAAATGTACACACTCGCTCTTTTTACAAATGGCGTCTTCAAGATTGCGACAATGATGTTTGGTTTGACAGAACCCATACCAGCCTAAAGCAATCAGGAATTAAATAAGTATCATAATGATGATGATGATGATGATGATGATGATGATAATTAACTCCAACTTACTTGTCGCGGCATGGGTGCTAGTTATGTTGCTAGGAAGCGCTAAAAAGTCTTGGTACATCATACAGGTACCGAAGAAGCAGTAGGACCCAGGCAATAGGCATTCCTCTTCGGTGGTACAATTCTTCCCAATAATCTTTTGGCAGGTATCAGAGACGATTTCATGACCAGGAAAGCATTCACACGCTCCGTTGTGACAACGTGTGTTGTTTAAATCACGACAATGGTGATCATTCACGCAAAAATTGTAGTAATCTTAAACAAAAAAGATTAGTAGTATCGTAGTTGGCCGTGAAAACTAAAAAAAAAAGATAATGCTTACTTTTTGCAACGTATAGATCAAGATCAATGCTTGTTGGGGTCAAGTACAGCTCTAATTTCAACTTGCAGACCCCAAAGACACACTGTTCACCATTATTATTTGATATACAGTTCTCGTCATCGATGCATTTAATCACTGGCCATTTCCGACATTTATCCGCCGAGAAGTCCCATACGTAACCTAATTTGCATTTGCAACTATTTTCAAAGCAAACAGTGTTGTTTAAGTCGCGACAATGGTGATCAGTCCAACAAGCTGAATTCCAACCTGAAATAACGTTAATGTAAAATCATCATCTATGTTATCAAGAGAATAGGAAAAATTTTGTGTCCAGGATAGTCCATTTATTACGATAAATATTTAGGCTGCATTCAAAAATGCTCTATCTCTAGATAGATAATTAAGAGATCACCTTGTATCTGGTGATCTATTGACATTTTTAAAGATATAAGTTTTATAGTTGACTACGGTAGTCAAATAGTGACTGCAAGGTTGCTATTTATCAAATATGATCTGTATCCTTACATACCTTCAGCAGCATACTTGTCAGCATCATCAGAACTGAAGAATTCATTATAGTATCGGCAGGTATTCAGATAGCACTTAATTCCATGCGGGCATTGATAATGCCTGGTACAAGTTGAATTGGTCATTTCCTGGCATTCATTATCTTGAAGCTGGAATCCTTTGGAGCAGACACACTTACCATGGAAGCAGTGGAGGTTTGGCTTGTTTCCACAATCTGAGTCGGAGGCGCAATTTTTAAGAGAACCTGGTGATCCAATTCCAAAGAAGTAGCTAAATGATGATCAATCAGTCGCTGATTAATCAGCCGGTGATTATAAATACTTACGTTCGACAGCTAAAAAATTATCTGCGTAGTTGCGTTCAATCTTGTACGTTGGATAGTACGAACATCTGCCCGAAATTTCATAGTGATCGTCTACGCATATACACTTGCCATTTTGACAGTGAGTGTCACTTAAATCTCTGCAGTGATGGTCCGTTTGACAGGGATCACCAATTCCTAGATAAAAATTATGATTGCAATTGTCACATTGTCTCTTTTAGTGGCAGGACCTTCAAGATGCTTTAGATTGGATTAATAAAATCTTACTGTAAGCCTTGTAAGCGGAGATATTCTTGGCATTAGATTCCACGAAAAACTCCTCTGGTAGCATGCAGTAGTCTCCAAAACACGTTACTTTATCCGTCCAGCACTCTTTGAGCTCCCCACAATACCTTTTGTCCAACGGGTCGCAGTTTCCAATGTGATTAATCCCGTAGCCGTCATAACAGTCGCATTTTCCATTGACGCAAATGCTGCTTTTCAGGTTGCTGCAGTGCTCATTAGTCTCGCACCGTGATCTCAATGCTAAATTAAAATCATCAAAAAATTACAAGGCTAATTTAACCGAATATGTGGATAGACTCACCAGTAGCTCGGTAAAGTTTCTTCACTTCAGCATCCGAGTCGAGGAATTTTGTGAAGTTTTGGCAGGTGTTGAAGATACAGGAGACCTCGTCCGAATTTAAGCAATCATTGTCGGATTCACAAAACGCGCTTATTATTCCCCTGCAAATTGATTTCCTCAGGGGTCCCGAACGCTGGTAATTCGGCAGACACTTGCACTTACCTCGAGAACACTCGGAATTTCTGATGTTCTCGCAGTCACGTTGACGTTCACAATAATCCTCAACCCATACTGATAAATATATCGTTATTTCAATTAGTACACTGATAGAAGGATTTATTAACTATTAATAATTCAATTTATATGTTAAAAAAATCATTTATTAACAGTTAATAAAGCTAATTAATTATTAACAAATCCTTCTATCAGTGTAATATTACTTCGGATGATTACATACATGCTTGCCGAAACAGATGTTTGGATTTATAACGATCGGCTTCGAGGATTGAAGCCACCAACAGCAAGCCAAGTGCTATCACTAGAATCTTCATTTTTTCTAATGACACCTAGCCGATAGAATATGTCTTATAAAGCCAACAATTCTTTGTTCCAAAACTGTGACATCTAATTACCGCTGATATGATGACCTTCTACAATAATGAACTTGTTTTTCAGAATATTGAAATGTTATTTTAGGAATTCTCAATCTTGAAGCAGGCATTCCTATTAGTGATTAATTACTTTGTTTTTTAGGCCACTAAGTATCATTAAAGCTTGAAATGTTTTATCACAAATCGAGTAACTAATGTGTCAATTATAAATAGTTAATTTAATGGATATTATTCGAAGATAGGTGAGTAAACAAGGGAACAATAATCTGAGAATATTCGCAGAGCGTCTAATGATGACTGACACTGATTCTAAATAGTATGATACAACAACGTAAGATTCTGGGTGGTAAAGGTTATCGTCAATGCCTATTTAATATTATCTCAACATTATCCGAGGCACAACCTTTTACCGTCTTTCTTATTCTGATAAATTTATTAGTCACCATCTATTCTCATTTTATTCAACGCGTCCGTGTCTTACCTTTATACACCCCATCACTTCCAATAACCCTTTTTTCACCTCAATTATTATTAGTCATCTTTCTAATGATATCCGTGAAAAAATTTTGATATTAAAATTGGTTATATCAAGCCTAATATCAAAAAATAAAATTTCGAACAATCTAAACTAAAATAAGCCTCTAAAAAAAAATCAAATTACAATATAAGGTCACTCACTCGAAAATCTCAAGCAAACTTTTTTGATAGATGATCAGATACGCTTAGATCTCTTTCCGTTCGATATCAAAGTAACTGATGCAAAGCTCTGCAGTTTACCCTTTGCCTTTATACCTTTCTGGCTTTCTACCTAGAAACCAGAGCGACTATCTAACTGTGTTGATATGTCTCCATCTGCAATATCTCTGGAGACACAATTAGGTTAAAAATACTTTTGGTGACTAAATTTTGCTTTCATCAATTTTATTAATGATAACATATAACATGTTTATAACACATATTTCCACTACCAGCTCCACTTTGGCCTGCAGACCCAATTCATGCAGAAAAAGTAGAATGTGCAGACGTACAGATGATGGACTCTTTGGCAGTCATAATTTTCGTTGCACTAAATCAATTAACAATATTAAATATTAACGAAAAATGACTTGATTAAAGAAAAACTTTTTCTACTTACCCGTTGTTCGCTGCAGTAATATTTGCGACGTGTCTTGCCGTCTGACTGCAAAGAAAAAGTAATTATGGTGATGATGGTGATCAAGACGGTGATCAGCTTCATGACAGTATCTCAGCGCTGATAACACTGATTTAAAATAAGTTTGTAAATTATTATCGATAACCTAGACCCAATAAATAGTTTTGCAATAATTAGCCTTGATATTTACAATTGTAAGCATGCTGGGTCGTGATCAGTGATCACCACGTAAGGAGATGATAGTGGTGATGATGATGATGATGATGATGGTGACGCGTAGACACGAGCTTCGAATTGAATCTGGTGTAAATCCCAGGAGTTTTAGAGCGGAGATGAAGATGGTGATGGTGATGGTGATGGAGCATTGCTTCTAGTTGACAAGACGTGATTCCGAAGCGACATTAGCATGCCGGGTGGAGAAGCTCCAGGAATGGTACTATGCGTGTCACGTCGTACCTTCTGATTCCTGATTCCTAGCGCTACTAACTCCCGATCTTCAAGCTTGTAGCTTGTATCTAGAGATACAAGACTTGAGCATTTATATATTTAGTTGTTTATTGTTTTTTATCGGTGATCTAATTTTAGAATGACGATTAATGTTGTGCAAACGCTTCTGAGTGTGTTTACTTGTGTGATAATTTAAAGTTTAAACAGCTCTTTACTTGAGTTTTTAGTATTTATTCTAGAGCAAACAATTCTGAGCGGAAATGTAAATAAATAAAATTCTGGATAATTTTATTTTTTTAACCGAGTGACCGTGGTGGAATACGAGCCAGAGTTGAGTTTACATTAAACGTCGTTAGTGACTGGGCTGGAAAAACTTAAATGCTAGACTGGTAATTGTTTGTTTAGTTAAAGTATATTGTGAAAATTTTTCGAGTTTATTTTTGTAAATAAAATAATAATTGAGAGAATTTTTTTTTAGTGTTAAAGTGGATGAACTTTATTAAATATTTATTTTAGAAAAATATTTTATTTTCTACAAATAATATGATTTTTTTTATACAACCATTATTTCTGCCTTAATTTTGGTATTAAAATTGATAATAAATAATATTTTTATTAATTATTAGGCTACGTAGATTGAATTTACAAATTTTCAGTTTTAAAAATTTTACTACTTTGTGTGGATCTCCTTAAATAGTCAGACTTTAAAATTCTAACTATGAGAGCTGTAGCCACCTAGCGGAATTTTTCCAAACTAACCTTTTGACCCATTTTATTTTTAATCTTTAGCTAATTATTTTCTCAATCAAATTCAATGAAAATAAAATTTTTTTTAAATTGTTAATTGCATTTAATTCTTAACCATGGCTAGAATCTCCATTTATGTAAAAATTACAATTTTAAAACCTAATTATCTGATTAAATATCCCGGAATATTGTTTTTTCTTTTATTAATTATTAAGCTACTTAAAATTTACAAATTTTCAGGAAGTTTTAAAAATTTTACTAATTTAGAGAGCCTTTAGCACGGAACCAAATGGTCCGGGTTCGAATCCTGGCTTGGGCTATCTGAATTTTTTTTTTTTCACTTTATCCTTTTTTTCACTTAATTACCCAATCCTTAATGAGAAATTTAGCTATAAAGAATTAAAAACTTAATGCATCTAAGAAAAAAAAAATCTGCAAATTTTTTAGAAATTTCAATTGTTAGAAAACTTTTAGTCTTATTAATTTTTGTTATATAATTTTTAATTATGTGCGTTTAATTGCTATTAATATTTTCTTAATTTAATAAATGCATTTTTAATTTTTGAATTTTATTTTATTTTTTCTGATTTTTTTGCACAGGTTTAATGCACCTCTATTATATAAAATTTCTTGATAAAAATAATAGCAATTTTTTATATAAAAAAATGACTGTAGTAACACCAAGAATGACTCTTAGTATTATTGTAAGCACTATATCTTTTATTGTCGCGGTAGCTTATGAATAAGAAGTAATTCCTGGACAAGAGTCGTGGGTGTACGTGATACGCTGTCAAACAAGATCGTGACATCCTGTTAGTGTTCTTTAAATCTAAAACTCCTCGAGCTCCTTTAAATAGTTTGGATCTTGGTCCAGCTCAATCAAAAGAATAATATTTTTTTACTCTCTGTTGCAAAAACGATCCGTAGTTTTATCTCGTGTGACAGAGGAAGCAGAGCACATGCTTTTTGTTAGGATGTACTAGTTAAAATTGCAGGTTGGACGACACCCGGCTGGACGTTGGATCCACAAGGATTTATCTTGTTCCAGGACTCTACTATTTCGCTTTGTAATTACTATTTTTTTAGCTCATCCGCTTGCTGCGACTCTCTCTATTATTTTTCTATTTTCTATTTCCACTTTTTTGTTATTATTCTCATTCGCTTTTGTTTGTTATTTTTGCTTCTGTTGTTCCTGCCTCTGTTATTTCGTTTTTTTTTTTTTTTTTTTTTTTTTTTATTTATACCCCCTCTCTTTAGCTACCAGTCCAACAATTACCTCATTCAAGAATATAAATATAATTACCAGGCACTAGATTTTTTATCAATAGATTTGTCATCGTTCGTCGAATGTTGTGGTCAATATCTGACGTGACTTCCGTCGGGTTTCTCACCAAACGCATACAAATATTTATTATCTATCTGTTTATCGTAATTTATGCGGTGACTAAGGAAAATAATATTTTTTATACTCTCCCACGCAATATTTGGTCTTTTATAAATATATATCCAGGATTTTTTTATATTAATCGTATAAAAAAATTTTTTTTTAATTATTATTATTAAAAAAATCCTTCTAAAAGTGTAGAGGACATAAAAAAAATAAAATTATCGTTTATTTAAATATTTTTTTAAGTAACAGAGGTCCAAAACTTCCAAATTAAAGTCCTGGGTTCGAATCCCGGGGAGTGTAATTTTATTTTTTTAATACGATCATGATTTGAATCCGATAACCTTTTTGATATACGTATATAATCAAATGTATATGTACTTGTATACTAAACAATATTTAAAAACGACACTGAATTCTTTCAATAAATCGATACTTACAATGAGTGTCATTTCCTGACAGTTATAAATATATGTATTAATATAAATTAAAAGATGTGCAAGTTAAACAAATGATTAGCTTACTAACTTTGAAAAAATTTAGAATTTTCATTTTTACATGTCCGCGTGTGTATTGTTATTAAAAGTTATCAAAAGTTTACTAGAGTAAGGTTTAAAATTTTCGATCAGTTCATTTCTCATCATTGTTATATACTAATCGAATCGATTTTACATCCTCTACAAGTATCCTAAGCCAAACAAATGATTAGCTTTTTAACTTGGAAAAAATTTAGAATTTTCATTTTTCATGTCCGCGTGGGTATTGTAATTAAAAGTTATCGAAAGTTAACTAGAGTAAGGTTTAAATTTTCGATAAGTTCATTTTTAAACATTATTATGCATCAATTGAATCGTTTTCACTTCCTCAACAAGGATCCTATGCCAAACAGTTGATTAGATTAGTAACTTGGAAAAAATTTAGAGTTTTCATTTTTACATGTCCGCGTGGCTATTGCTATCAAGACTTATCAAGACTTAACTAGATTAGGGTTTAAAATTAGGGGTGTGCGAATAATTCGAACTTACAAATTATTCGTTCCGAATCGAATAATTTGGATTTTCGAATTATTCGAAATTCAACGAACAATTCGAAAAAATTCGATTAATTCGAAAAATTACGAATAATTCGAATTCTTTTGAATTATTCGTCGAATGTTGATTAATTCGAAAATTCGAATTATTCGGTTCGAATATCAATATTCGATTCGATTCGATTCGAACGATATTCGCACACCCCTAATAAATATTTACTAAATCCCATGTTAAAAAATCATTTATTAGTCAATAAAGTTTTTTAAATATAAACAAATCCTATCAGTGTAAATAATAATCGGCTCTTTCTTATTGAATATTTTTTATAAATTCAAGTACGCTCGACAGTCTATCAGACAGAAACCATTATCCTAATTGGTAGCTTGACTTTATTTTATTAAATTTTATTTATTCCAATTTGTCAAAGCGATTGATTGGAAACTTTTATTTGTATTCAACATTTAAATATCTATTTTATATTTTTTTCATCGTAACAACCTCAACTGCGTCCTCGGTAACAGAAACAGGGGCAATTACTCGAGAGTGGTTAATTCAAGTGCCGGAATGCCGGAAGAAGACCAAGAGACTGGTCAGAGAGGAGTTAATAGGGTGTATGTTGGGTGTCTTAACCCAGATAGAAGATAAAAGGCCTAAGGACAGAAGATACCACCAAGGAAGACGAAGCAAGCCCAAAGGGAACAATCAATGTCTGTCCCAGGTCACAGAGCATGTCCCACTACAATCCGCATTATTCCCTCAGCTCAACCAGAAGTGACGTCAAGACGTTTCCTGTCTCAAGAGTTGCCCCTCCACTTGCTTGACTAGTCCTGGTCTATATAATCCTTGCAAAAGTAAATGCTGGTGAGGAAAAACAGCAAACTTGTATGTCTAGGTGGTAATTATTAATTTATTAACGAGGGAACAAACTACTGTTAATAACTCGAGATTATTCACATCAACTGGTAATGGATGTTTGCATGCAATAGCTAATTACTGATCGCTGATTAGTTTACATTACGATTCATTAAAGCTGGCTGATTGCGTTTCTCTGTCCTCGGTAATTGCCGGGTTCACTTTTTAACGATCGATAGTTTGTACTGTGGAGAGCGGGATTCAATTTTTAATTCGGCGGGAGGTGTTACGAATTTAGCTAAAATTATTGGTATATTTATTAAATTAAATAAATTAAATTATCAATTGTTAATAAATTCTTCTATCAGTGTAAAGTTATTTATTGTTTTATTTAAAAATAAATAAAAAGGGTGGAGAATTGTAATTGTAATTTGAGTATTTTGAATTGAAATATGCAAATAGTATGGGAAAAAATTAGTGGTGAGCGAGTCGTTAGCAGTGTTGTCACGTATTATTAATATGCTAAACTCGTATACACCTACGTCAATGCGTTAAACATCGACCACACCGAGTGACTATTCATTTGGGGTTCGCCATTGATTTATATTCATTTTACAAATTTAAATATATTCAATACCAAATTTTCGGGGGTTTACTATACCCTTTTACGGATTCGAATTTTTTTTATATAGTCTAATAGGAGCAAAATCTTTTTTTTAATAATTAAAAAGATTTATTAAAATTAAATAAGTTACTTTTTTATACACTTATAGAAGGATTTAGTACGGAGTAATCAACTGATTTAGTAAAAAAATTTTTAGTCATTTATTTGGGAGAAAAAAATATTTACCCATCAATATTTAATAAATTATTTTTTTATTCTAAATAAATTATATTAATATATAAACAAAGCGTTATTATATAAAAATAAATATTTGTTTCCACCAAATAATATTTAGTAGTAGTTACTAAATATTTGTTTGGTAAGTATTGTCGGTAGATGGCGATGCTTTAATTCCAATGTCATACATAACCTATTAACTGACTGAGATTATTTTATTGAGCTTGAATTTTGGGAGATTTATCTTGCCTTTTAAAAGACACATTCTCCCAAATGGCTTATATGTCATTTCTCAGTGGAGTTTAGTTTAAATTTGTTCAATTAGTCTATTATTGATATGTTAAAAAGTTGTTTAATTTTAAATTTTATAAATGTCTCAAATAAAAAATAATTATTTAATGAGATGATTTTCTTTATAATACCGAATATTTTAACTTAAAATTATTTATTTTAATTATTTTGATTTATTTTTAGTAACAAAAGTTAGGTTATACGGTAAAATTAGTTAAAAAATTAATTTGTTTAATAGCAATAAACGATTTATTGCGAAGCAATAAATCATTTGTTAATACTAAATATTTATTATGGTGGCAATGGGCTTTAATAAATTATTTAGTAACTATTACTAAATATTTGGCAATTAAAGGCTTATTATTAAATCATTAAATACTTATTACATATTAATAAATAATTTATTAAAAAATCCTTTTTTCAGTATACTTTTTTTTTATACCATAAAAAACACAAACGAAACATTAACCCAATAACGGGTCATAATCACCTCCGAGCCGTCACATTAAAGATTTATAAACAAAGCATAAAAATGATTTACCAGTAGGTAATAAGAAGCCTCATTACTTTTCATCTGGAAAATGGGGTTTAATGGAGCAATCAGCTTGAAATATCACCCTGTGACATATCTTAGATACTTTTTTTTTCCTTACCGACTATTTAATATAATAAAGTACCAGTTGACTTACAGGATCCACGACAAATGTTAAATATTTCAAAATCCTGTTTGCACAACCTCAAAAAAAAATAATAATAACTGGCATCCTGTGTCCTGTGTTGACACTGACCGGAAGATCAGATGACGAGGAGGTGCAGGAGAAGGAGGGGGAGAGGACCGTCCAATATGTAGTCCTCCACCGGCCTGCTCTTGTCCCTCTCGTCTTATTCACCAATAAAATGAGGATTTATTCTTAAATTGCTTCTTTGTGCTATGGTTGCTAAAGGAATTTGAATAAGAAACTTCAAACTCTTAAAAACTTGGTTTTTAAATTTATCATTTATTAATCATTTATTGACAATTGTTATCACTTATCACTTAATCCTTTTAAAGTGTCTCTTGGCAACAACATCCGTCCGCTCATGCGACAATGTCTAAAAAAAACATAATCAATTTAATTCAAAAGAATTTTTAATCTATATTATTAAAAGAATAAGCAAAATTTTGTGGTCAAATTGTGACAAAATTAAGAAATGACCTTGTATTTCGTGAACAATTGACATTTTTAAAGATATAAGCTCATCCCGATGTTACACTCATCAAAACCTTTCATTTGAGTACCCACATCAATTTTTTATTTATTTTATATATTTATATATATTATATATATGTATTTATATATATATAAATTTGTATATATGAAAAATATATAAAAAATACATGTGGGTACTCAAATAAAAGCTCTTGATGAGTGTAACATCAAAATGAGCTTATATCTTAAAAAATGTCAATATTTAAGAAAGTACAGTTCAATTTACCAAAATTCATTATTTAATACCCCAAAATTTTATTTATTTATAGTCCCAATACTCACTAAAGTCATCCCATCATCATTAAAATCATACCGCCTTATCGTTCTATTGCCGTCTTCCGTAATCGAGACAATAATCAAGCTGTCGTCCTCAATGGTAGTAGTATTCTGTAACCGAACAACACACAGAACAATTTACACGTGGGACATCAGCCAACCTTGACTGTTAAATACCTGGAGTTTAACGCCAGATGGCATCACCTCTTCCCACTCAGTTCCAAGCGTGAATTCCCAGACTTGCGTGCGCATCATAGTCACAGTCGTTACTATCCACTTGTCCCCCTCTTTGGTCACCTCGATCTTCGGGTTGGACATGTTGATCATCTTCCTGACCAGGTAAGGCAGCTCTGCAACAATCCAACAAACATCCTCAATAATAAATAATCAATAACAATTCTAACAATAAGTTAGATAAAAACTTACCTAGAGTCTTGAAGTACTCGTCAAGATTCTCGCTTCGTTCATGCTGATACTTTCCCAGAATTTTGGACATGTTGGATCAGCTGACGCTTTACACACACTAGTGTTTTATTTCTGCCGTAAAGGAATCTTTAAATCTTCCGCTGGATATGTTAGCGAGAGGTAGGAGAAAGGTGAGAGTGGGAATTACGGAATCTAATCTGTAGATAACGGATTTTATTATCATATTCGTGTGTAATAAGTCGAGTGGAGAGAATCCTTGGAGACAGCTAACTAATCAAAGCCTGTTTGGTAATGTAAACAAAAGTCATTTATGTGGAAAATTTTAAGAGTAAAAAGGGTTATTATTGTTGATAATTTGACAAGACATGTTCAGACTCTCCAACGGATCCGTGATGTGGCATCAAAAGTTAGTGAAGAGCTTAAACTGGGTCAACTAATGAGGCTCTTAATTATAATGATAAGAGATAATTATAATTATAATTATTATGAAAGAAGACTACACTGTTAAAAATTTTTATTGTAATTTTACAAGAAATTTATTGGAAGCTAATAAGCAAAACATTTATTTAAAATTACAATTGGGTATAGTAATATTACAAAACATATATAGATGTCAGGTTACTAATTTAACAAGGTTGTGTAATTTTAAAAATATTTTTAGATTAGCTAAGTTTGTAAAATTACAATACTTTCCTTGAATTTAAATAATAATAAATAATAGTTTAAAAAAACTAAAAACACGCTTTTTATAAAAAACCAAACTAAACAAATGGTGTGTGTACTTATGTACACGCGTCAGAAGTTATACTTCTTTGGCATATAATAAAAAAAATTTTAAAGAAAAAAAAATACAAAAATGGTCAAAGAAAAATGTTAAAAACAATCAAATAGCTTTTATTATAGTAAAAATTTAGCTATACCGTATAAATATAAAATCATTAATTATCATATGAATTTAATTCAATATTATTAAAGATTTTTCTAAATAAACTAATTTTGGAGCTTCAAAGTATCAATAGTTTACAATCGATAATTAATATTTTAATTATGGAAATTAAGTTAACTGACACATAAAAATTTTTAGAATTTTCACGTAACAGCAGAAATATCATCCTAGGAGTGACCATAGGGAATTTTTGGAGCAGTCATATTTCTGCAAAGAACTTAAAATTAAAAATATTGATTAATAAACTATTATTTTAAACTCGTCGAAAAGAAAAGAATTAATGAATGAATTTGAACCACAATACAAATAAATTTTAAACTAATAAAGAGAAAAGTAAAAAATCTCCATATTTTACAATTCTTTCTCTATCATTCTAAAGTCGATAAATTATTCAATCAGCAACTAACATAAAAAAAGTTTGGAAAATCCAAATGAGCATGCCTTAAGCGCTCATGTCATCCATAAATTATTTAGATCATAACAAAAATTATTCGTTTTTAATTTGAATTTTCCCGCGAGTAGTACTATCCCCTCTGTCGGTCGAACTAAAGAAAAATTTTAACAGATGATAAAACAGTTAGTAATTATACCATCATGTATTATGTATAGTTTCTGCTTGTTTATAGTTATTTCGATTCTGTTTATGAAAAATAATATATATGGCTGCCAAAATCGCAGAAAAAGTCACCGAACTGACCAAGAACTGTAAGTGCAATTTTTAAAAAGTATTTTTTTGTTCTAATTTAATTATTAATGATAAAATCAAAAAACTAAAAACCTCGGCTAATTTTAGTATCATTAATTATTTATTGAAAATATATTATGTTTTTTATAAAATAATTCATTATTTATTGTTTAACCTAGTGATAATATCTTTTTAATTAATATTTATTCAAAAATAATGTATACATGAATTAAAAGACAAATATTGTAGTACGAAACTAGATTTTGTTTCCAACAAAATTCCGAAAAATTATTAAAATGGTCTATAATATGAATTTAAAAAAATACGGATAGAATTACTATATTCGATAAGCAAAATGATTGAGTCTGTATTAAAAATTATGAACTCAATAAAAAGATACCTAAATATAATAGATACTAGAATATTTATATTTTAGTTTAAATATTTTAATTCATGAAATATACTATTATTTTTGGAAAAAAATATTGATTAAAAGAAAATTATTATCAAGTTAAATAAAAACTAAAATATTTAATTGAGCATTTTTTAGAATTGATTGTTAATATGAATAATATATTTCATATTAAATGGTATTTCTATCGAATTTGAAAATATATAGTTTTAATTTTATTCTGTGGCCAACTTTATTCTGTTAATTTTGTGTCACGGTGCGCGCGCATCGTAAAATTTCACCCTCATCAATTTTTCATAACGCGCCTAAAGAAGTATAACTTTAAAAATAGAAAATAAATTTAAATAAAGACTGGGGTTAAAAATGAAGATATTTGTTTTTTATCAGTATAGGGATCGATTATAACAATAATAGGATGATTAAAATCAGTGGATCGTAGGCCGGTGGTTAACCTGACACTTCTGGTCCGAGAAGTAAATGCCAATTATGCGTGTATATCCTACTCTGCTGGAGAATATTGTATGTCTGGGAGCTAGGAGCTGGGAGCTGGGAGGTAGCTAATGAGCAATTAGCAATGGAACTGTGATGGCTCGGCGGGTGATAGTGGATAGTGGGTGAACGGTTCAACGCGAACAAATGTCCTAGCCACATGCCACTATTTGGTAGCATGTATACTTAACCGCTATTCTATGTTCTATTCAAAATTTAGTGCATTGTAGATCCGCTCGATTACATTGTTCGAATTATATACCTCTTCTGATGATATCTAGCCGTGTATCTTGACCTGCGATCATCTAATTCAATCTTCGAGTTAGGTTTTTCAGTTAATTATTTATAAGTCATTTTTGCTAAAATTAATATTTTAAAAATTTTGGATATTTTTATGGTGACTATACAATAATTTTTCATTTTTTTTAGTGACCATATTACATTAGCGACTAAATAAATAAATTATTAATTAGAAAAATTTTTTAAACAAAAGTATAAAATTTTATTTTATAAAAAACGCTTATGTTAGTTTCTTAGGATCTATAATTTAATCATAATTTTAAAAGTAACATTTATAATTATTAAAAAAAAATTTTAACCTTGAAAATTTTGTTTTTAAAAAATTATAAGGAACATTTTTTATAAAATTAAATATTATTTTTGTTTAAAATATTTTATAAGACCAAAATTTTCGCGGTAATATTAAAAATTTGAACGAAATTTTAAAATTTCTCCACTGATAGAAGGATTTAGTACGGAGTATTAATAAACTGATTTAGTAAAAAAATTTTTAGTCATTTATTTGGGAGAAAAAAAATATTTACCAATCAATATTTAATAAATTATTTTTTTATTCTAAATAAATTATATTAATATAAACAAAGCGTTATTATATAAAAATAAATATTTGTTTCCACCAAATAATATTTAGTAGTAGTTACTAAATATTTGTTTGGTAAGTATTGTCGGTAGATGGCGATGCTTTAATTCCAATGTCATACATAATCTATTAACTGACTGAGATTATTTTATTGAGCTCGAATTTTGGGAGATTTATCTTCCCTTTGAAAAGACACATCCTCCCAAATGGGTTACACTGTCATTTCTCAGTGGAGTTTAGTTTAAATTTGTTCAATTAGTCTATTATTGATATATTAAAAAGTTGTTTAATTTAAAATTTTATAAATGTCTCAAATAAAAAATAATTATTTAATGAGATTATTTTCTTTATAATACCGAATATTTTAACTTAAAATTATTTATTTTAATTATTTTGATTTATTTTTAGTAACAAAAGTTAGGTTATACGGTAAAATTAGTTAAAAAATTAATTTGTTTAATAGCAATAAACGATTTATTGCGAAGCAATAATTATTTATTATGGTGGCAATGGGCTTTAATAAATTATTTAGTAATTATTACTAAATCTTATTAAATAGAACTAAAATATAATTAATTTGATCAAAGTAGTGTTAAAAATTTCCGATAGATGGCGCATGATAACTAAATCGTCTCACAAGAAGAAAGTTAAGTTCTAAAGTATATATTAATTTAATTTTTTTTTTTTTTTTTTTAATTAATTAACTACTAAAATTGTTAAAAAAATTAATTTTTTTAATAGTAATAAACGATTTATTGCGAAGCAATAAATCATTTGTTAATACTAAATATTTATTTAGTGGCAATGAGCTTTAATAAATTATTTAGCTAATGTATTAAAATAAAGGTTATTGATACGTTCCAATAATTCGGAATATAGGCCAGTGACGGCTAGCCGTCACTGGTATTCCCGTTAATAATTGGTTAGTGTCGTTATATCGAGGGCTGCGGTGAGCCGTCAGCTGGCGCCGTGGTCGGGAAATTCGCGCACTCAAAGTTATTGCTTTCTGAGTGAGTACAGCTCTGTACTAATACCTCCTTCGACTGTTCCCAGTCTAGCTCTGGGTATATATAAACGTTATATTAGTAAACTTCCTCCGGCGGATAGCTAACTTGCAAATGCAAACTTCACACATATACTTCAATTATTCTCAAACAATAAAACTTTTAATTTATTTTATTAAACCAATTTCACAGCTTATTCACGCTCGATTGCTCCATCAGTTACTTTAGAAAAAAAAATAATCAAAATAATTACATATAATTACACATTAATTTAAATTTTAGTTATAATTAAGTCACGGTCCAAGTGTTGTGATTGCATTCTTAATTAAAACTCTTACTATGTTTTAAAATGATGGAGGAGAAACGCGAGTAAATGTTTTAATAATAATAACAATAAAAAAAAAAAAAAAAAATCAACCGCGAGATTGTGTATAAGTAAATTAGAGTTTAAGCTCATCAGTATGCAAAAACTTTGTTATTTGTTCGAGATTGTTGAATTATGCATAAGCAATATGTTGACAGTGGTATTAGTAGTTGTAATAATTATTTCAGCTTCCTGGAATGTCAACACTCCCTTTTCAAATTTTCTCTCGGGGCAACTTTACCCCTTCCCTCCTCTTTTGTACTTAAAATCCGGGTCACTGTAATTAAAATTAACTATCAAAAATTTCTGTTAATAAGCTGAATATTAAACAAAATTGAAAGCTGTCAACTGTTTATGTGTTCGCAGGGTTTATTTTTTTTCCGTAAAATAAATAAAAAAGAAAAGCAATAAATGGAGTAGAGAGCTTATTGAGCTCTTTCAGATTCCGCTGAATCAGCGGCCGTTGGCAAATATATATATAAAAGGGAGCTAAAGTTTTGTTTCAAACCACAGATCGTTATTGCGGCGATAAATCCTCGGATTTAATAAGAGAACAGTTTTACTGGGTGACGCCTGGCGCTGGTACTACTGCCAGTGGTCAAGTGCAAAAACCATTTTTAAAACCCTTCAAAGTAACTCCTTTAAATCTTCACCACATTTACCTAAAAAATTCAACTGGTTATTGGATTTTGTCGATAAAATATCAATAGTCTTCCAGAAAATTGCGAGTGAATTGTAAAAAATTTAATAAAAATAAAACAAAAAATCGAACACAATTTACAAGAACACATAAATAAAAATAACAATCCATTAAATCATTTTAGAAGTAACCTCTTCTTCATCATTGCTGTGCTTTTTCCCATTTTCTGGCGGCTGACTCGCAGGATAGTTCCAGCTTTGGATCTTAGCGGATCCGAAGGTCACAAAAACAACAAACGCCAGCAATTGTGCGACGATGTTGATCCAAAAGATGTACCTCCATCTTTGAAATGTGTGCTGCAGCAGAATCAAGCACAATCAGCTTAAAAGACTCTTACCTTAATAAGAAACTAAACTTACCCCGCCTTCAGTCAAAGCTCCAACCAGAGCTGGCAAAACAAACGCAGAAATAGTCCCCGGAGTGTTGGTGATTCCCATCAGAATCCCGGCGTAGTTCGGAGCCAGGTCGTTCTGATTCGTAAGATGTCCTACGAAAATCGCCCCGCTGATCACAATACTGATAATTAGCAGAGCCGTTGACGTCGTCCGGTCACATCCGATGTAGGCGATGATGATCAGCATTATACTGGGCGGAATGCAGCCTGGAATCATCAATTTACTGAATTCTAAAAATCAGTTTCTACTGATCAGTCATCAATAATCAATTATCAGCCATTACTTATCCCAACGGCGATCTTCCGGCCAGTTGTTTGCGACCAGTAACCACCCTGGCGCCCAATGTCCAGGATTTTGCCCAGTAAAGGGTTTACTACGGCATTTATTAGGTACGGCGAGCAGCTTAGCATTGCATTCTGCAAAAATATTAGAGTGTAACAGGTAATCAGGACAACTAATCAGTATGGCTGATCAGGAAAATTAATCAGGACAACTAATCAGAATTATTAATCAAGACAATTAATCAGTACGGCTGATCAGGACAATTAATTAGTACAGTTGATCAGAACAACTAATCAGGAGAATTAATCAGTACGGCTGATCAGGACAACTAATCAGGATTATTAATCAGTAAGGCTAATGAGGACAATTAATCAGTACGGCTGATCAGGATATCTAATCAGGATTATTGATCAGAATAATTAATCAGTATGGCTGATCAGGACAACTTACCTTCTTAATATCAAACCTGAGCATCTTATTCATATAAAGCGGCAGTTGTGTCAATAGGAAGTACCAACAGAAGTTACCCAAGCAGTTTGTCACCACCAGAGCCCAGAAGGGCTTAGAGGAGAAAATTTCCTTCCAAGGGACTGCAATCTTCTCTTTTCTGGTGTGTCGGTGCCCGTAAGAATTGACAATCAACTGTCTTTCTTCCTCGCTGATCATCTTCTGGGTTTCTGGGTTGTCTGCGAAGAACACGGCAAAGACTGAGCACCAGACTAGAGGCAGGATCCCGTGGATGTAGAAGACAGGCTTCCAGCCCATGCCGTGCATAATCAGTCCGGAGGACAGGATTGAAATGACGGTGCCTAAAGAAGTTCCTGCGTTGATGATCGCTACCCAGGTGCTCTTCTCCTCGTAGACCATCCACTTGCCAACCAGGACGTTTACCACCGGAAGGTTCGCTGCGCTCACCAGTCCAGCTATGAATCGGAGAAGCAGAAGCATTGAGATTGATCTGGCTGCTATTGGGACTATCAGAGTTAGGATTGAGTTTGATAAGACTGAAGCTAGAAGGACCCACTTTGTGTTGAACCTGCAAATTGATGATGATGATGATGATGATGATGATTGTGGTGGTGATGATAGTGGTGATGATGATGATGGTGGTTAAGTACCAACCTGTCGGCAAAGTATCCAGCTGGAAACATCCCAAGCATGTATCCTGCAAAGTACAGGCTGATGATCAGTCCTTGCTGCGTTGATGTCCAGTCATACTGATCCTCGAAGTAGATTACTGTGCTTGGATCTGGAGACTGGATTGTAAAATTAGGGGTGTCGTCGAAGCTGCACTCGTAGTAAGTATCGTTTGATCCTTGAACTACTTTCCGTGGTTTAACCATCCCGATTATTGTTGTTGATATGTTTACTTTTAGTCCGTATATTATCATATTCGCGATGCACAGCATTATTGCGAACATGAATCTTACGTAACCGGCTGGAAGTAATGGGTCAGCGGCGGACAAACAAATCAATCAAGATAATAAGTTTTGTTATTGTTGTTAGAGATTATATTATGGAAATATTTTTTTTTCTTTCAACATGTATTCTCAGATAATATTTTCTTTAATGATTTTATTGTTTATTTCAAAATAGAAATTTATACTGTGACAATTTAAAATATATTTAGCAATGTTTACTATACCCGACATAGTTAATATTACAAAGTAAATATTGTAAATATTACAATTATTATTATTATTTGACGATTTCAAAATTTAGAAATAACAATAATAACAATAATAATGAAATTTTTGATTTTTGACTTTTTCTTTATTTTTGTAATTATTATTATAATAATTTTTGTGATTATTTGATGGTTTCAAAATTTTTAAATAATAATAATAAATCCTTGAGTTTTTACTTTTTCTTTACTTTTGTCATTATTATTATTATTATTATAATAATAATAAGATTAATAATTATTATTATTATTGGACGGATTAGAAATATTTAAATAATAACAATAATAATAATTAATTTTTGATTTTTTGATTTTTGCTTTATTTTTGTTATTATAATTATTATTATCATTTGACGATTACAAAATTTATAAATAATAATAATAATCATAATAAATTTTTAATTTTATACTTTTTCTTTGTTTTTGTCATTATTATTATTATAATAATAATTTTTATTATTATTTGATGATTTCAAAATTTTTTAATAATAACAACAACAAAAACAACAACAACAACAATAATAATAATAATAATAATAATTATTATTATTATTATTATTATTATTATTATTTTATTTTTGATTTTTTTCTTTATTTTTGTTATTATTATTTGACAGTTTCAAAATTTTTTAAATAATAATAATAATAATAAAATTTTTGATTTTAGACTTTTTCTTTATTTCTGTCATCATTATTATTATTATTATAATTATTTGATGATTTCAAAATTTTTAAATAATAACAATAATAATAATAATAAAATTTTTGATTTTTAACTTTTTCTTTATTTTTGTTATTATCATTATAATTATTATTATTACTTGACGATTACAAAATTTATAAATAATAATAATAAAATTTTTGATTTTTACCTTTTTCTTTATTTTTGTCATTATCATTAAAATAAAAATAATTATTATTATAATATTTAGATTAAAATTTCAACTGTATATTGACTCCATAATTTTCGCTAGATTTATTCAATAATAATATTTACTATAATTACATAGTAAACATTGCAAAGAAAAATTCACCGTATAAATATACTAAAAAAATTAAATATCAATTTCTCTTAAATTTACAATAAATTATTTTATAATTATTTTAACTCTTTTATCACCTTTTCGGTCTTTTTATTATGCTAGTATAAATCTAATTCAAGTGGATGGAAATTTCTATCTTCACTAACAATTTGAGAGTATTTTGTCTTCGGATAGTTAGGTCGATGGGCAACCATCGAATTTGAACACTAGTAAGCTGGTGAATGCTAGTATCTGTTCGACTTAATAAAAATACTATAATCGTAGTATAGAGTTTCAAGTAAGGGGATTGGGTTAGTATTAATAACTACTGAGAGTTAAGTGTATACTGAAAGAAAGTAAGTGAAGAATGACCCGGTAGCTTAACTGGTAAAGCAACCTGACATGATATCGGGGAGATCCAGGTTCGATTCCTGGCTTGGTTAATTTTTCATGGATTTTTTCAAAGTTGCTCTTCATTCTCAGTAGCTTTCCATCGTTAATACTTGAAAATTAAGTCGAACAGATACTAGCATTCACCAGCTTACTAGTGTTCAATTTCGATGGTTGCCCATCGACCTAACTATCCGAAGACAAAATAGTCTCAAATTGTTAGTGAAGATGGAAAATTTCCATCCACTTGAATTAGATTCATACTAGCATAATAA